CACTTTCGTTTGGAGTCTTATTAACAGCAATGGTTTTGTAGATAATATCACGCCATGGTTTTGTATAAAATATCACGCCGTTATCATGCTTATACAATAGCCCCACCCACTATTAAATATAATCCGATATTTTAAATTGTAACGTTCACATATCAGTTCGTCAACCAGTACGGAGCCATGCCTGTCTCGCACGCAGGTATGCAGTATGGAATGTATCCCGGAATGCAGTTCCCTCCCCAATACATGCCTCAACAGATGATGCAGCAGCAGCAGCCACATCCGCCTCATCAACAGGTTTCTAACGAAATTAATTTATTGAGCCATACATTAAAATGAAATGTTAATCCCCAGGCCACATTGAAATGAAATCAACATCCTCAACTGCATTACAAAATCTTACATCAATGAAATTGTGCAGAGATGAGTTAATCACGCAACTTCGGTATTCGTATTTCTTATCATCCGTTATCACACTGTTAAACTGAGGATTTTGTATAAGGCAAAATTTCTTTGGCTCAGTTTCAAATAAGAAGATGGAGGGCTCCGCGAATTCTGCTATCTTGAGTCACCTGATTATATGCATTGTTTTATGTTGGCCCTCTATTTTCCCGGTTTTGCTAGCTCTAAAAACTGGTGTATTGCTTCTAAGGGGGGGGGGGGGGGGGGGGGGGGGGGGGCAATTCTCATTCTCTAAAATGACCCCTCCCTTCTAATTTCATTATACATTCACAACATATAACACTATATTGTTTGTTATTGTAATATAAATTGCACAGCTTTTTATGAAATGGTCATTAGTGAAAGGGCGAAGGCATTAACTTGACGATTTAACCATTAAATTTTCCAAGGTTTCGCATATGCAATATGAATTGTACAAGTTACTAGATAATGTTCACATTTCTTAGACATCTGAGAAGCTTTCTGTTAATCCCTTATAGCTATGATATTACTGATAGCAGTAATTAATAATTATAGTACTGCGCAGTAGTGATAATTTGATACTAAAATAATAATTGATTCTCCCCCAAATAATAAGCCGTATCTATATCAGTGATGTGTTTATATTGGATTAGCTGATAAAGGCTATAAATGTTAATAATCTTATCAGCCTTACATTCACAATCGTAACTTGCATTTTTTGTTATGACCTTGCTATTAACTTGGGTACAATAACGGTGAGTAGTGTTTACAATTGTTTTGCTTACCGATCTGTAGTCTAGGAATGTCCGAGACCCTACTCCTTTCTCCCACTGCAGCTGCAGACGTCATCTCTCTGCTTCCTGTTTTAGAGCGGGTTTATGGTTCCTCGTCTCGTCTCGTGTCCACACACCGCACTCTTACTTCAGATGTTATCGTTATTCTCTCAGAGACTCAGAGGCAGGACAGTTTTGTCGAGGTGATCAGAGAGTCTGTCAGTCGGCAGGTTGAGAGGTACGGCTGCGGCGGGAGGACTGTAGCACTGTGGACGTGTTTATTTTACAAGCTGCTCCACGATTTGAAGGAGCTGGGGAGTGGTGTGTGGATTAACTCTGTGGTAGAACTAGCACTGGAGCACTGTATATCAGGTGTGAGGGGTGTCTCTGTGGATATCAGTAATGTTCCCTTGTCTAAACTATGCGAGGGACTCTCTCACGGAATTGAGCACCACCAGCTAGTTAGAGAATGCTGTGAGCTCTCCCAAAATAATGAAACTCTAGCAAACACTCTGTCCCGCTGTGTTACAGTCGCGTTTGAGAAGAGCAGTGCTCCATCTCTGGTTCTGAAAGGCAGCGTGATCAGCTCCCCAGATGAGGTGTTGAGTGGGGAGATGAGGGTGCTGCTAGTGGGGGGAGACATTGCACCCCAGTCAGGAAACCTGGGATATAGAGGGCTGGTGAAGGAGTCAGTGGTCAGCACTCCTGGTGTGTCCAGTGAGCAGGGCTGGAACAGTAGGATACTTAGTTTACTTGAGAGACTGGATGTACAAGTTGTTCTCACTACAGGACTCTGCAGACTTGATGTTGTCAGGAGTGGTATAGTGGTGGTTCCTAGCTTGGGTTATGATGTTCTTCTGAGAATTTCAGGAATTTCAGGAATTTCAGGAATTTCAGGAGATTCCCAGAGTTTGCTTCCTTCCGTGGAGTTCGCTACACCCGGTGATGTCAAGACACTGCTGTTTGAGAAGTTTAACGAATGTTTGACAGTGATAAAGTCCTGTCACGACCCATATTACACCATTCTGGTGAGAAATCCGGTACAGAGCGGCTCAGCAAACAGGTACAAGACTTATCTGGCTCGACTACAGAGCGTATTAAAGTGTGGAGTGGCTCTACCTGGGGGAGTTTCACGGAGAGGTTCTGTTTGGAGTCATTATCTAGCTTTGTTGTATCGCCCGAGGAAAGGTCAAACTACCATATCCCTTCCTATCTGGACACTTCTCTTGTTGCCATCGTATCCAGTCAACTGTCAGCACTGTTTTCTAAAGTTGCTTCATTGACCGAAAACAACGCTGTATCCAATCATTTTGACTTTAGTAATGATTTATCAGATTTAACACTGGATGGTCCGGAACTGGTTGATGGTTCGCAATGTCTTGCAAAAATTGTTGAAACAGTTGAAGTGTATGATGATTTGTCCTCCAAAGTGGGTGCCTGGAGGCTAGCTTTGGAGACAGCCAAAGTATTGGACAGTCTCTGTTTGAGTATGAAACCGAGAAGTGTTGATAAGAGTTAGAGAAAACCCCTGTTTCAGACCATGTACGCATTTTTTCTATGTTTAATGTTCGATTTTACAAGGTTATTTAATTGTTATTGCTTTTTTATTGAATTTGAAATAAGGCGTGTAGTGTTTTGATTTTGATGCCATGATAACACCGGATAAAAGTAACACCTGATAAAGAACACCCGGTGTAATTTAAGTAACACCCTTTTCATTGTAGACGGTCGATAGGATTGGGATCCATTCATATATCACTGCACAATATGTACCCTCAGTTAACCTTCCGCTAGAACTCACCTTATTTGTTAAATAATAGTATTGGAAGTATAAATACTAAAAATTCAAAACCTGGTGCAAGTATCAACTAGTGGAAGTAACACATTTATTATTTCAGATGTCTCAACATTCGGCCCACTCCTCACCTACACCGCCCATCCATCAGGCTCAGCAGCAACAGCCGCCTCCCCAACCCCAGGCTCCTCCCCAGCAGCAGGCTCCACCGCAACAGCAACCCCAGCAGCAGGCACCGACCCCTGTACCTCACCAGCCCAAACCCAAGAGCAAGGGAATCATCATCAAGGATCCTAACAGCAACAAGGAAGTTGATCTTGCCACGGTAAGTTGCTTCCTAAAATTTAGTTTTAACTCTTAGTTATTACAGACTACTTTTGACCACAAACGAATCTGTTGCAAATGGTAACCAACGATTGCAAAATAACAAAGTAATACATATTAGGGGGGGAGCCAAGTGGATATTTGTAGATATTTGGATAATGTCATCCACTTTTTTCGTGAATTATCCATTACAATAATCTACAAATATCTACATTTATCTACAAAAAATGTATATCTCAAATATGTGCCCAGAAATTCTACTGAATTTTTGGAGATAAATGTATAAATTTGTAGAATTTGTAGAATTTTCGTGAATTATCCATTGACAATAATCTACAAATATCTACATTTATCTACAAAAAATGTAATCTCAAATATGTGCCCAGAAATTCTACTGAATTTTTGGAGATAAATGTATAAATTTGTAGAATGTCATCCACTTTTTTCGTGGATTATCCACTCTACATTAATCTACAAATATCTACAAATATCCACTTGGCCCCCCCCCATATTAGTTATATAATTAGCACCAATTTTCACCACCTGATAATAACCTCCCCCCAGTTAGCAGCCAAGGAGACGACAGCTCCCCTCGGCAACCCCCAAGAGAACTCCCTCCAGAACAAAGAGCGCAGGAACACGTTCAAGGAGCAGGTCCACCAGTCTATACGAGAGAAACCCGGCACCTCCCACACTGCCCCACACAGTGTGTCGTCCCCCAGCCCCAAGTTGGAACAGCGTGCCCCCACCCCCGTAGAGATGAAGAAACCTCAGTCTCCAGCCGCCCCCGCTGAACCCAAGAATATCACTCCCAAATCTATATTACCCAGGACCAACTCCCAATCTGATGATAAGACGCCTGAGAAGCAAGGTTATTTTTGTAACTACCTTTGAGTTTTAACATGACTGCACTACATTTATATATTATAATGTATTTGCATTATGTGATTATAAGTTAACTGTTTCGATGAATGTAACTAACCTAGTGTACAGGGCCGAGTACACAGGGAGAATACCCTTATGTTTTAGGGAGATACTCATCTTTAACATCTTAAACTGTCAGGTATCGAAATGAGCGTTCAGACGACTCCTTCTCTCAAAAAACTGAGTGAAGCATCACCAGTGGCGAAGATTCCAGCTCAACCTACCTTCACATCTCCACCTAAAGTCGAGGAGAAAGCGCCTGAAGTTAAGGAGGATAAACCCAAATCAGACCTCAGTAGCATTACCTCTATTGGTGATGAGAAGTTAGATGGTAAGTGATTTTTCCAGACCTCGGTAGCATTACCTCTATTGGTGATGAGAAGTTAGATGGTAAGTGATTTTTCCAGACCTCGGAAGCATTACCTCTATTGGTGATGAGAAGTTAGACGGTAAGTGATTTTTCCAGACCTCAGTAGCATTACCTCTATTGGTGATGAGAAGTTAGATGGTAAGTGATTTTACCAGACCTCAGTACTCAGTAGCATTACCTCTATTGGTGATGACAAGTTAGATGGTAAGTTTTTATTTAATCCATCTGTTGGGACGGAAGCGGTACAATTGTTAGTTTATAGTTAACAGATTGTAGTTTACAGTATATATTACATCGTGTATCTATTAGTAATATGTAATATGTAATATGTAATATGTAATATGTAATATGTAATATGTAACATGTAACATGTAACAGTAACGTAACGTTTCAGGGGAGGCTATCATTATTGATAACACGACCAAGAAAGAGTCTGTAAAAGAGGAGACAACAGTTGTTGAAGAGAAACCTGCCGAAGAAGTAAAACCAGTGCAGGAGGAAGTGATCCAGAAGCCAGTGGAGGAAGTTAAGGAGAAACTGGTGGAGGAAGATAAACCAGAGGAGGAAGCGAAAGTAAATGAGTCGTGGAGAAAGCTGCGGAGCGACTAACTATAGAGATTCCAGCGGAAGGTAAATGTTTTGTAAAATAACTCCTTTTAAAATTTGTTTACAAGGAATTGAAGCTGGGAGGTTCCATACTGACTATCTGTACAGCTAAATCGAATTACGCAGTACGGCTTTACACGGGTTACATTTGTGTAAACCCTTACTAGGGACAGGTTATCTTTGAACTCTCACTTAATCTCTCCTTACGTCAGAATATACAGATGTAGAATAATAGATCAAGAGGTATTGTAATAATACCTTATCAGAACTTATTTGGGCAGACATTATTTTGGTCGGACATAATCATGGACGCCAACATGTTTTTGAACGTACGTAGTAGCCGGAATTTTATTCGGACGCTACACTAAGCCCTCCATCGTCCACGTAATGTAACCAAATAAAGTCCAATAAGGTATAGAATAATATACAATAATTCGGTCAAACCCACGTCTATTGATCGTTAAAAATTAAAATACAATTTTACAGTCTAAAACACATGCTGGTAGCGAACTATGAAGTACGTGTTTTGTAACTTTTTAATATTCACAAGTGCGGCTGTGCTTACACCTGGTATCAAAATTAAGGTGGTACAGAACAAAACGTATAGTCTGTTTATGAGGGCAAAATGAAGGGGAGGGAGGGGGGGGGGGGCACATCTAGAAAGTCTGCACAATTTCTCGATGTGATCCGGCAAAATTCTGTGGGAATAAGTGAAAATGTAAAGGGATATCGTTAAAATGGACCCCCCCCCCCCTTATTCCTCTCATTGAGAGCTCTACAGACGTGACCCCCCCCCTTATTCCTCTCATTGAGAGCTCTACAGACGTGACCCCCCCCCCCTTATTCCTCTCATTGAGAGCTCTACAGACGTGACGTCACTATGAAGACTTGTTACCTGCACACCTGTGCGGTGTGGAGCCTACTCCACCCTCTTATTGCACACATATTGTAGCACTCTCCGCTCCTCGCTGCTTCCTCTCTCCGCTCCTCGCTGCTTCCTCTCTCGTAAATCTGCTGTTCTGTTCCTTTTGTTTTGGTCGTCGTGTCCTGCTCGTCCCGTTAAAAGTCATTGAATAAAGCTGAAACATTAGTTTCAGCTATTTTTAGGGAGTTTCTGTTCTACACACTATTTACTATATACCGTTAGATTGTATTCTTGCATCTTGGAAAGCTGTGGGAGATAATTGACTATTATTTGCTGCTTTGTAACTTCGGTCGTTCGAATTATACATGTTGCAATTGTATTGGAATTATGATATTCCCATGAGCAAAACTCACGCCCTTGGTGTGAGGCAGTAATCATAACGTATACAATCCATAACGTATAACTCTCTAATTGGTCTAAACAATTTGAGAAGGCCATGCTTTACCGATTGATCGGATGAAAGTACGTTGTTAATGTTAGAATATATTATGGGATTAGTTCTGCAACCCACTTGTTATCCCGCCCCTTCTATCTGCTGCTCGTTTATGTTTTGTAAATAACCTGTTAATCTAACACGCACGTTGCGTACGACGTAAGTTTAAACCTACCAGTTACCACGTACACCACATACTTAGAGGGGGGGGCACATTCCTAGCTTGTCAGTAGTTTTGTTGGTTCTTTTTTAGTTCAATATTGGAAATAGTCGATTCGTGAAAAAAAGCTATTAAATAATTTGGCTTGGTCTAAATAAATACATTCTTCCCAAAACCATTTTGTTCACCAACAACATTAAGAGTAATATTATATTACAAACATGGCATTCACAGCCCCCCCCTCCCCGACCCCCACACACAGTGACTGTGAGATACCACGCACCCCTGTGTGTTGCACAATCCTGCAGCACAACAGTATTTAGATCCGGCACTGTTTGCTGCTTGCCCAATGATTGTCTTCTTATATATTAGTTTCTGAGATTGCCTGCATATTACGTTAGCCGGGCATTGCGCAAGTTTCATACTGACTAAATATTATTACCTTTTGACGGGGATCTCTGTGTGCAGCGTGTGCAGTATTAACCTGCTCCGGTGCAGCAGAAGTAATCTGCTCCGGTGCAGCAGAGGTAACCTGCTCCGGTGCAGCAGATGTAATCTGCTCCGGTGCAGCAGAGGTAATCTGCTCCGGTGCAGCAGAGGTAATCTGCTCCGGTGAAGCAGAGGTAACCTGCTCCGGTGCAGCAGAAGTAATCTGCTCCGGTGCAGCAGAGGTAATCTGCTCCGGTGCAGCAGAGGTAACCTGCTCCGGTGCAGCAGAGGTAACCTGCTCCGGTGCAGCAGAGGTAACCTGCTCCGGTGCAGCAGAGGTAACCTGCTCCGGTGCAGCAGAGGTAACCTGCTCCGGTGCAGCAGAGGTAACCTGCTCCGGTGCAGCAGAAGTAATCTGCTCCGGTGCAGCAGAGGTAACCTGCTCCGGCGCGGTGCAGCAGAGGTAATCTGCTCCGGTGCAGCAGAAGTAATCTGCTCCGGTGCAGCAGAGGTAACCTGCTCGTGTGACGGACACGATGAGCACTGTCACCCCTTATTTAGCGTGCAAGGCTTGTGGTGTTGCAATTTTAGTACTCACAATATATAAATATCTTGCACCGTAGCTTTGCTCTTTAGATATATTGTTTGATAATGATATTTGAGTATTTGCTATTTTGAGTATAAGCTTATTCCTAGGAGAATATTATTTTAAAACGTGTATTTGGATACGACTCTTGTTTTGTTGCTTTCCATTCAGATTTCTTTTAGCAGTAATTTGCTGCCGCTTATAAGCCGACATCACTCTTACACAAACAGTTATTGTAAATCTTATAAACATTAAACAATAATTTTAGATCTTACAAACATTCACGTCTGAAACCTAACGGACATTTGATTAAGCAATAAGTTTGAGATGATCATTCGTGATATTTCCTTGTGTTTCACCGTCAGTTGGCATTATCATATTTGGTGTTTTTAACTTTACTTTTTACTTTTTAACTTTACTTGTTCCTCGAAACATTGTTATATGGAGCTTTGCTCTCACTCTTTCACGACAAGAAGATAGACATACCTCTGTAACATGGTACACTTACACGGTTCGCTGTTACACTGTACACTGTAACACTGTACACTGTTTGTTGTTACACTGTAACACATTACACTGTAACTCTGTAACACATTACAATGTAAAACATTTCACTGTAACACTTTACACTGTAACTCTGTTACACTGTTACTCTGTAACACATTACACTGTAACTCTGTAACACTGTACACTGTAACATGGTCCACTGTAACACATTACACTGTAACTCTGTAACACATTACAATGTAAAACATTTCACTGTAACACATTACACTGTAACTCTGTTACACTGTAACTCTGTAACACTGTACACTGTAACATGGTCCACTGTAACACATTACACTGTAACTCTGTAACACATTACAATGTAAAACATTTCACTGTAACACATTACACTGTAACTCTGTTACACTGTAACTCTGTAACACTGTACACTGTAACATGGTCCACTGTATATACATCTAAAAAACCTTATCTACTAAACTGTAACCTTCAGTCCAAGTTATCTCAAACAACACCCAAAATCAGAACTCGCACTCAGCAAATTAAATATAAATATAAATACTTAATTGAGTTGAGTTAGAGCCCGCACAGGTTGCACAATTCGTTCAGTCTCTGGAGAACCGTATTTAAATAAGATATTACTGTAAAATAATGTTCCTCAGAATTTAATCTGTCCTTAATTTGCGGCAATATTTTCGTATAATTTTTGCTACAATAAACGTTGTAACTTGCTGTGACTCGTTCCTGAAAGACACGTATGACAATTATTACCTGCAAATTTATTAGCGTTATTTGAAACCAAACACCTTAAACAAACTTATCAGCTCTTGAATCTGCAGGGTTCATAATTGATTTTCATACGAATTAACCATTTTGGTCACATTTCAGGGTAACTTCATCCGGTATCATTTTTCAGGAGCCTCATTCTGTCTTTCCGTACCTTTGGGCACCCTTTTCTTGCCTCTGTCTTTTCTACTTGAAACCTCATCAAATTTGTCTAACTTGTTCGCGTTGTTTAAACTTATTGAATATTGATCGTATGCCAACATTATTTAATTAGTTGGTGTAATCTTTAACTTTTAAACTTAACCCTTCAAAACTTGTTACCAATTTTAACTAGATAACATTGAAACTTACCTTACTCGTAATTATTATGGCAGTTTTTGGGCCTCCCGCTATATTTTTAACGGTCAGTATTTTAAGCGGCCATGTTATTAACCGCCGAGTTAATATTCCCGTAACAGTGTGGTCATAATTTGTTCAAATTTGCTTCCTAACGTAAATACAAACATGTTCAAGTAGTTATTTAGGCTGATGCAGATATAAAAGATATAAGTACAAATTACTTTGAATCACGACAACAGTTGATGATTTTATATCCAGCTCCTGATTAATTTGTACGACTAGAATTAAAGTACTAAATGAAATCGAACCAAGAATGATGCCAAAAATCTAGAATACTCGAGAAAAATCAGCAATTCCCGTGGTACTCAGAAATTTCCCAGGAAGGGGTAGTCCCAGTTAAAATCATGACCGTTAAAATGTGGCAGTATTTTTGGGCTTCCCGCCTTACTTTTAATAGTGAATACTTTTAACGGTCATAATTTAACCCGCCATGATGATAACGAATAAGGTAAACTAAATACTTTTTACTTAGCCACCTTTTAAATTAACCACTTTAATAGACCACCTTCTAACGTTGACCACCATATAACTCAATAACATTTTGAAAAGTAGCATACTTGTACATCATCTCTGCAATACGACTATTATATAATCTGTCTATATATCAATTTATGATATATAAATACTCGTGATTAAATGCAACTCTGCAGCTGCAACTCTGCATATACGTGGTCTGTGAAAGTGTATAAATCATCCAAATGTCATTACTAGATTGTGAGCTATTTATTTAGGTGATCGTCTATTTTGCCTCCAGCGCCCTTTTTTGCACTTTAAGTTCCTATTCCTGCAGATTCGTTATATCGTGCTCCCCGAACAGTAAATTTAGTTTTGTGTGTACGTGTGTCCTCGTCTCGTCTTTGAGTATGATTTTAATTGATCCAAACTTTTCTCAATTTAGTATTTAATCATACTATTACTTATTTTACTTAGTAGTCCAGTCATTTATGGACATTTATGGAAATGAACCTGCAAATTTTCAGATACTCACGAAACTCTGCACAGACCTTCCCAAAGGTATGAATAAAAGATTTTCGGTTGGAGAAATTTTTTTTAACGGTGGGGAAAACCCAGGAGTGCCACGCCCATATTGGCCCAGTGACGTTACTGACTCTTTGCTTCTGAAGGTCGTAGAGACTTCAAAATAGGCTTAAAGGGGTAGTCCCAGTTAATATCACGACCGTTAAAATGTGACAGTTTGCGTCGTTAGGTCAATATGGGCGTGGCCCTCCTGGGTTTTCCCCACCGTAAAAAAATGTCTCCAACCGAAAATAGTTTATTCATACCTTTGGGAAGGTCTGTGCAAAGTTTCGTGAGTATCTGAAAATTTGCAGGTAGATGTCCTTAAATGACTGGACTATAACGGGAGTTGAACTGTGTATATGGGAGAGTAGGCGAGCAAATTAGATCAAGTTGAAGTGAATATCGGGTGAAGTGTAGATCAAGTTACCGGATATCAACTGTAGCTGTGATGTGTTCAGTACAATCATGTACATTGTAATAATGTACATTGCAACAATGTATAGCATGGTGATTGGTGTATGGTGTGGTTTTTGTTGTTGCCTCAATTGCTTGTCATCCCGCAACGAGTTATCCTTTTAGACTGCTTTGATAACTATCACTTCATTGATCGGTTTCAAATTCCACAGTCGCCAGCTGATTACTCTAATTACCCTGTTAATTAATAAGGGGGGTTATTGTGCCCACATTCAGACCCCCTCACCGTACATGTGAAATGTCTCGTGAGAGTGTGAGATGTTGTGTTTTGTGACCTGGCGCTGAACAAGGAGTATTCTACACACAGTAGTTGGTGGGCTTGTTTCAGTGTACAACGCTCACTAAAATATCTTACTTTGTTGTTTACATTTTTTTTATAACCAGCGTTTGTGAATGTGTTTTGATTTCACTTGAGCTAATATTATTGCATTGTAGTGTTTATATTATTGCAGTTCTCATAATGTTGCAGTGTTAATATTATTGTTTATATTCCAGAGAATGTAGACTGTAGAGATGGAAGCAGTCAAATTCCATGTTCGCCTCTCAGCATTTTTGGTAGTTCAAGCTAGCCAGTTATTTCAATATGTCCGGGTACTTCTCCTCAGATTCGTCCTCTTTCAATGGGTTTCGCATCACAGTGAGTTGTACGCCCTGGTCCCCAGTGTATTAAATACTGTTGTTTATAGAGCAACCTTTTACGTAATACCACATATCAGGTGGGTGGGGGGGGGGAGGTTGCGTTCTTTTTTATTATAAACCAGAGCGGGTAGTTGGGACTGGGGGGGAGGTGGCGTTCTTATTTATTATAAACCAGAGCGGGTAGTTGGGAGTGAATTTCTCCAGGTGCGTCACCTCCCCACAAAAAGGCAGTATTAAGTTGCTAATAATACAAGGTTGTAACGTAAGACAGTGTAATATTTAAAGTTAAGACAGTGGTTAGCGGTTAAAGCGTCATCGGAATGCTTCAGATTAGCTCGTACCCTGAAATTTGGGAATATTACCCGGTATGATGTTACTCCTCTGTAAGTCTCGTTAGACGTGTTTAAGGAGGTTGTTAGCGCCCTGAATTATAAAACCCAGCCAATATGATTACTATCCATCTAATAACTTAATTACTATCCATCTAATAACTTAATTACTATCCATCTAATAACTTAATTACTGTCCACCGAATTACTTTTAAATTAAATTTCCTCCACAGAGATAACCCCCTCTGAAGATGTGCCCTCCTCTGAGGAATCCTCGGAATGCAAGGACCAGTTTGAGACTCCTCCCGCTACTCCTTCAGAAGTGCGACCTGAGGTCCCTAACGAACCCACCAAGCTAGCCGAACAGGTGGAAGCTGCTAAACCAGTCGAGCTTGTTAAACCGGTTGAGTCTGTCAAACCAGTGGAACATGTTGAACCTGTGAAGCCGGTTGAAGCTGCTATGCCAGTGGAAGCTGCTGAAGTTATTGTCGCCGAATCTGCTCAGACAGTTCATGCTGAACCTGTAAGATATTTTATTGATGAGATGATAAATTTGTTTAGGATATTATATGTTGATTTTCTGTCCCGCTCAATCAACTCAACCTTATTATAAACAAGCGTGTGAGATTAAAATGTCATACATTTACCATATGTACCAATATTATATCGCTGCATAATTCTGTACATAGAATCTCCGCCAGGAAACAAAAGAGGAAAAGAAAGAAATAATTGAAGCTGATACTGAAAGTGCTATCCCTGCGAAGATTGATCTCGAAGAAGGTTAGTTTGGAATACACAGATCAAAGATGAGGAAGCATGCTAATTGTAGCGTATTTTAAAACTACAGCATACACTGTAGAATAAAATAACTGCAAGACTGAAATAGCAATAATAATGAAATATCGTCTATTATGAAATGTAATTAACACGCAATGGATGAGAATGTAGCGTCCACCCGGGGTCCGCCTCGCACACAGAATTGCATTACTCGTTGCTCGGACAATTAAAACGACAATTAATTAAACCAAATACTACAGGTGAGATAGTCGAGGAAGAGGAGACGACACCAACAGGACCCTACAGATACACTCGGGAGGAGATGGTAGCACTACGTGAAGCTCAGGATAAGATCTTACCTGATGTACCTAAGTATGAGTGTATTATGGATAGACCCATTCTGAAAGCAGAACCCCAGCGACCAAGGTAACTAGTGTTAACTGAATTGTATATTATAGATACTCGATTATTTCGTGTAAGGAAAATTGAAGATCTAGCAAATACTTGGTTGTTCTTCAAGTAATCAATTGAAAGTTATCACTTAGACTAGTTGCCACAATATTAAAGCGCGCTTGATTTAAATGCAATCCAAGCTCAAGGCCATTATTAATGTTATTATAAATCTTTAGCGATCTAGTCGATTAGTAAAATAGATCAATTAACAATCAATTAAGATGATTTTAAAACTTCATTCTCAGGCCTAACAACCAATTCGTGCCATCGTGGGAGCAGTCAGGCAGCAGGAACAGGTCACGAGGAGGAGGGGACAGAAACCGGAGCATGGACAAAAACCACTCCAGCATGGTCATGAAAGGACCTAGGATTATCGAACATACTCTCGCACCCATTCAGGTACCATTTCAATCTATTCAACAATTTGTTTGCTATTTATTAGCAAATTTGATTAACAGTGGATCTCAGTAAACCTCACGCTGTTAAATGTAATTTCGTTAATTGGATAACAAATAAATAATTCTGTATGATCGAGTATTATTGTCCAGCTCATTAAATCACTTTTTTCTGCAGACACGTAAGAAGAGCAATAACGCTTGGCTCACCAAACGAGAGGACGGCACCAAGAAAGACCCTGCTAAAGTACCGGACTCGAAACTGCTGCGCGGAAACATTGTTGCTATCCTCAACAAAATCACTCCGCAGAACTTCAAGGATTTAAGTGTACAGATACTGCAGCTGGGTATTGATAACATGGACAAACTGGAGGTAGCAGTGGAGATTATTTTTGAGAAAGCCGTGTTGGAGCCAGCGTTCAGTCAAACTTATGCCAACCTCTGTAAGGTAAGTTTCTATGATATAAATGCCAACTTGTTTATAGTGTAAGTTTCTATTATCCATTATACATATAATAATTTAGTACTAGTACATAATATAGTATTCATTGAATAAGAATATCTAATAACATACCAGTGTCTAGTACGTTATTAAATTTAAAATCATTAATTCCTCAGATAATGGGATCGATTAAGTTTCCCGAAGAGCAAAACGCCAAAGTGTCTCCATTTAGGAAAACTCTGCTGAACAGATGCCAGAAAGAGTTCTTCAGGGAGAAGAGTGATGAGGATAAAATCAACAAAAAGATGGACGAACTTCAGGCGCGCAGTGAGTTTCAACAACACATATTTATAATTAACATACTGCCATTGCTCACCAATAGTATTAGTAAAAAAAATTTTTTGGTTACTATTTACGTATATGGGGATGTACAAAAAACTTTCCAAGATGATCGGACGAAAAAGTGAAAATTCAGGTCAGTCTACCCCTCAGTTGCCCATGCTTATCAATACAGTTCACCTCCGCTGACGTTTCTCACCAATAAAATCCCCCTCCGCTGACGTTTCTCACCAATAAAATCCCCCTCCGCTGACGTTTCTCACCAATAAAATCCCCCTCAGCTGACTTAACAGAGAACGAGAAGCAGGCTCACAACGAGGAATTGTTGTACCAGCGTGGCAAGCTGAAAAAGAAGATGCTGGGTAACATCAACTTCATTGGGGAGCTTTTCAACCTTGGCATGTTGTCCTCTAAAATCATCATCAGCCAGTGTATCGGTAACCTGCTGGCTAAACGAGCGCAAGGAAAGTTGGATGACGAAGTGATAGAATGTCTCGCTAAGTTGTTCTCTACCGTCGGACTAAAACTTGAGAACGAGTGCGACGATGAACTTAAGAAACGAGCTTTCGAGAAAAGTTTCGGTGACTTCAAAGAAGTGGGATCAAGTATGTTTTTCAACTTTTGATAAGATAGGCTAAGTAACCTCTGCTGAAACATTTGCATAACATAATTATTATTTATTTAACTGTTCAAGATTGCAGCTACGTTTTACTGTACTCTAAAATCTAATCCTTTTGTAGATTCGAGCTACGCGTACCGTATACGGTTCATGATACAAGACGTTGTGGAGTTGCGTGATAATAACTGGGTGCCGCGCCGTATTGAGGCAAAACCTCAGAGAATAGATGATATACACAGAGAACACGCGAAGGAAGAGCAACAGAAGAAAATGGAGGCTGCCGTTGCCCAGAGCAGCAGGAAATCTAAATCAAGTAAGTTTTTGCTTTTGGAAGAGAAAGCAAAGGGGGCTGCCAAAACAGCAGATAACCTGTTGTACAGTGAGGTTGACAATAAAGCAATAAATAAACCGATTGGCTCATTCATTAATTTATTAATTAATTTATTCATTAATTGACTAATTGTTTAATTAATAGGAGCAGACAGTCGTGATGAGAGAGGACGAGGCAGCAGGGACGGAAGAATGGACAAACACGAGTACAGCATTGCCCCAAAACGTGTCAACACTAACATAGACATGAGCAAACTGTCTGGAGCCAACCAGGTATTTAATTGGTTAATTGATTAATTAGTTAATAAGTTAATTAGGTTATTATTAAGTATGGTAAAGGTGATATAGGGGCAACGACTATTGGTACAGTCGAAAAAGGGAACAAAACAGCTTAACCGATCATGTTATTATGAAACATTTAAAAATGCATTTTCCGAAGAAATATTAACGTTATTTTAGAAATTTATTCCCCGAAATATTAACGGTATTTTAGAAATGTATTTCTCAGAAGGTGGACTCTGGAAACCTGATTCTTGGCCCGTCTCGAGCCCAATGGGGTAGAGGAAGTGGTACTGGTAGTGGAACCAACAGCCCACTTAGTGGCAGCAAGGAGGACCTCTCAACCAACAAGTTAGTTTATTTAACTAGTGTAAAGTTTACAGTTTCGGTATTTAAGATCGTGATTATTTCATTACACAATTGATTTAAACTTTGACTTTAAAGTTTCTTTTTGGATTGGTGATTAGTTTATGATTTAACAATTCGGCTGAATACATTTATTTTTACCAAAATATGTCAATTATCTGTATGGTTGATCCAGCTAATCTCTATATTTAATCCTTCCTATTAACTATTCCTCCTGCAGCCGGTTTGACATGCTGACAAAGAAACAGAACCTGGTACCAGGACGAACCAGCAGTGCCCCCGCGCCGCGCAAGGCCATGGACAGAGACAGGGAACGTGCTAGCGCTCTCGCTCACGCTCAAGCCATTGGTCGTGGCAAAGGAGTGAGTGATTTCTTATCTTGTTTTGACTTTCTCCTTTGTTATAACAAGCCCTTTAGTTTGGTTTTGACCACACTTTTTTGTTACCCACAGCCTTCTCTCTGTAATTATCATCGAACCACTAATTACCAAATTACTGTGCTAATTACCTCATAATATTAATACCATGCTAATTAATTAATTACCCTCTATTTTCGCAGCGCGGACGAACGCCATCTCCGTCTCCAGTGCGATCAGCTCCAGGGAAAGTAGATGCTCTGAGTGAAGAGGATATAAGGAAGAAGACTAAGAGTATCCTGACAGAGTACTTTGACATTGAAGAGATTGAAGTGAGTATAGAACTGTAGTTTGAAGGGATAGAACAGAGTTCCCTGTGTATTTGAGACTGTAGTTTGAAAGGATAGAAGATACTTCCCTGTGTATTTGAGACTGTAGTTTGAACAGTTACTATTGAACTGATAGTGCTCAATATGTTTGTAATTGTCAATATATTGAGTTTGTAATTGTTTGTAATTGTCAATATATTGAGTTTGTAATAGTTATAACTCCCAGGAAGCGTGCGCCTGTATCAAGGACGAGTTACAGCTTGTAAAGAAACACAATATCTTCATACAAGAAGCTATTGATATCGTCATGGAGGCTAAACCAAAGGTAATCTTCATTATTGTTATTTGGGAGGGGGATGGTGCAAGATATCTGTTGTAGAACGATCAGCTATGATATAAGCTTTTGCGTGCTCTTGTAACCACTTCGCTAGCACACAAACTTTATTAATAAATTAGTTAATTAATTAATATTTAACATGACTGACGGCTAATTATTTTCAGAGTCTGAGGCTGTTAGGAGAACTGTTCCCCGCTTTGTTCCAGGAGGATCCTCCTCTCATGACCGCAGACGGTCTGCTCTCTGGTAAGTAACACGTCACGTGGTGCTAGTAACACGTCACGTGGTTCTAGTAACACGTCACGTGATGCTAGTAACACGTCACGTGGTGCTAGTAACACGTCACGTGGTGCTAGTAACACGTCACGTGGTGCTAGTAACACGTCACGTGGTGCTAGTAACACGTCACGTGGTGCTAGTAACACGTCACGTGGTGCTAGTAACACGTCACGTGGTGCTAGTAACACGTGGTGTAATTGTCATGTCACATGGTGTTGTGTGAGGAGGGGGTTTTATGTAACTTACTTCAGACCAGTAGCCCAGTTCCTTCTACTCTCCTTTACAGGTTTCCAGCCAGCGTTCGAAGTAGCACAGGATCTCGCTATAGACGTGCCTGCAGTGTACGCTAACTTTGGTAAACTGCTCGGACAGACCTTTGCTAAGGGTCACCTCACTTTCAAGGTCATCAAGGGAGCTCTCGGTCCTCTGAGAGCGTCAGACAAGGCTGGTCTTGTCATGTGCGAGGTAAATTCTTAACATTCAATTCTTCAATACTTAGCAATTAGCATTCTATACTTAGTTGGCTTCTGTTCTGTAATCTTAGCTCGTTGGGTTTTTCGGTATTTATACTGAATTGAGCGAATTTCGTAATAACTGCTACAATTTTATGACCACTTTGATATGACTCATTAGTTTTAAAAGTACGCGTCCGCCATTAAAAGTACGTGTTTTGACAGATAATCAAGAACGCGCTGGAAAACCTGGATGACAAGGGAAGCATGGATATTCAGCAGAGATGGGGTAAAGACAAGATGTCCTGGTCCGACCTATGTGACGACCCAGTCCAGCTTATACAGAAGTGAGTTTAATGTGATATCCTCCTTTTAAATACGTCAATTAATTAAGTGAACGTTCAGAATTGAGTTAAAAGTGATATCCTCCTTAAAAAATAAATTAAGTAATATGTTAGCGTTGGTAAAATATTGAGTTATAATGCCACTTTTCCCAGGTATAAACTAGACTTCTTGTCTACAACTTCCGAGCCAAAAGAGTCCATATCCGAGTCTGACATTGACATCACTGTGACACTCAGGAACTTCTTTGAAGATTCCAACTCCTCTCAAAATGATGTTTTCTCCTACATAGACGTGAGTTACAAAAGTTTATCGGTGCAATGATCAGTTGAATTTGATAAGCTTATTGGTCGATACTCGATTTAGATTAATTGATATAGTATTTGCGTGGATATAGTATCTGCGTTACCATTTGTTTAAATGTGGCAGCTAATTTTCCCTCCCTCCTCATTTCTTAACCTCTCCCAGAAAACTGTGTCCGAGAAAGCTCAAAAAGAAGGACAATTCATCAAAGACTTGATGAATGTATCGTGTACTTTCTGCTTTGAGGCGGACCCCAAAGCCATCGGAATGTATGAGATATCAGAAGACAACTTCTCAAAAGTGATGCCCATACTGAAGAAATATCTACAATCTGGTAAAGATAATTCTGATCTGGAGCTCCACGCTCTGGACGCTGCCCAGCTACTTCTGCACGAGATGAAGCACCCCCGAGGTTTGTTCCACCTCATTTCTTTGTCATTATCCACGAAATGAAACATTTCACAGCTTTGTTCCGCCTCGTATATGTTTCATTAACCTCGAGATAAATCAGCAAACACTCCAGAGGTTTGTTACTTTAAATTTTAAAAGCTAAACAATTCTCTCAGATTTGGCGTACATTCTGTTTGGAAAGCTGGAGGATGACGAGATAATCACAGAGAATGGTTTCCGACACTGGCGGGAGAACGGCAAGGAACAGCAGGGGCACGGAGTAATGCGACAAAACCTCAAATCCTTTTACTTGGAGCTTAGTCAGGACTCTGCCGACGATTCTGAAACGGGCTCGTGAAATTACATATATCCCTAGTGAAATGTGTGCGAGTAGTTTTTATATTTTGCGGGAACTCGTATTTCTAAGTTATTTTTGTGATGGGTATGGTGTTGTTTTTGTTTTGGTTGCCGTTGGTGACGTCACGCGGTGGTGTGATGACGACACGTGGTGGTGTGATGACGTCACGTGGTGGTGTGATGGCGTCACGTGGTGGTGTGATGGCGTCACGTGGTGGTACGTGACAATGGATTGTGCGATGTTCTCTATCATGAGTGTTAAGCATTTACCCAGAGATCCCTCCTTCTCATCAAAATGTACTCCATTTTCTCAACTAATTAAAAAATTGTGACGTCACCAGTTCACCTCGTAATGTCCTCCTTTTGACACCTCATGTCACCTATCCAGGACCCCCAGCCTCTTCCAGTACTTCGCTCTCTCGCTCCTTGTCGGTACTCATACCTGCTGCTGTTCTCACGTACCTGACATAGATAACATCTCTTATCTTAAACAGTGAGTAGGCTGAAATCTGTAGTGGCTGGAGATTCCTGGCAAAGGAGAGTCGGCTCATCACTCGGTGTGATGACGTCACGTGGTGTTGTGGTGACGTCATAGATCTGAAGATCTCTGGGTATTTGTATTGAGCTTGACCATATTTTGTACCACAGCTAAGCCTATTTATTGAATAGTTCTTTATGTCAAATTGCTTATTAGTACGACTAAATCTTTCTAACGATCGCCACGGAATCGGTAAGATTTTTAGTTAGTGTAACTGCTTCTTTTATTTGGTTTTTTAAAGAGGAATATTTACAGTTGAGTGTTTTAAGATCGAATTCTTGAAGCGAAGGTTAACCGGTGTAATTTTGGCGGCCCTATCCTAAAGTTAGTTTTAGTTTGATTTGATAGTTTAAACATCTCCCTTTTTCATCACTAGTGAAGTTTAAAATCGATAAAAAAAGGAAAAAAAAGTTTGAGAAAAATTCGTTTGTGCGTAAAAACAGTAATATTACATGAGTTTTAAGTATTGCAATAGTGAAATGTATACTAATTGATTGATTAATTAGTTAATTGATTAATTAATTAATATAGTCTGCAAATTGCGTTTACCATGTAAACCCCCGCAGATGTTTATTTATGATTTCAAGCCGAATGATCGAGATATATTTTGACACGAATTCAGACACAAGAAAAAGTTTTGAAAATACACTCTTGCAATACTTTTTAATGATGTTGTGTGCTTCATCGAACTTTAGATCGCTAAGACATTTTGATTCCCTTACTCTAGTCAGAAAACTCGGATTTGAAGCACATGGCTGATTTTATTGATAAATTTGTATCACAAATTTGTATTTAATGATCAGGTGATATCAGTTTTATATTATAAAGGTAATTGTCGAGGCAGACTCTCGGGAGGGAGGCGAGGTGAACTAGTGTACTAGAGTTAACTCCCTCCTTTTAAAATGATCTTTAAACCCAGGATGACAGAATGCCGGATGTTTCATTTATTGTTTCCGGACACTATAAGACCATTTCAGCGGTGACCTAATCCTGATTTTGTCCAGCCATTTTTGAAAAACTTTAATCTAGAACTGACAAAACCAGGGTTACGAGTCCGCCCGGCAACAGTTTATCACCAAGTTGCGTCCACTGCCCATTTTCTCTCGTTTTGAAGTTATGTGAATCTCTGCTTTAATACTTGAGTTGTTATGCTTGCTATTCGTAAAAAAAGCTCGCACTATTCAATGGAGCATTTGGTGAACTTTAGTCAGTTTGGTAGAGTACGACTGTGTGGTTCAAGAATTGTTGAGCTGTGCGGTCACGTGCAAGTGAACGATCTTACTTTACTGCCTAAAGTTTGCTGCTGTTAAGACTACAGATTACAGTGACTTATTTAGTACCGACCCTATTATAGCAGACCAAATAATTTCATATTTGATGGAGTTCTGTTGAAATATAAGAGAGCGAAACAATCGTTGAAAATTTTATCAATTGATTTGAGTAATAATAATCACGCGACCGATGGAAGTACATATTTTGCGTTATGCTATTGCTAAAACACGAGCTATGTCTGGTGGGTGACCTTGGTCCGGTGTGGGGCCTTTGCACCAGGTGTCACCCCCGGCCCAATGCAGACTCGCAGTTTTGTTAGATATTTGGTTGTGCTGGCGCAAGTACAATATCTGGGCTAGGTTTTGTATCTTATATAGCACTAATTTATTATTTGTACTTTCAAAATGTTAGATATTACTAATATAGTAGTTGGGTTGTCATGCGTTAAAGTTGAAAGACTTCAACTGTAATACTGGAATTTGAAAAATGTGCGCCTTTAACTGTACCAAGACAATGAAATTCAAATGAAAATGTTTAGTGAAACCATATGTTTTAATTCATGATTATAGAACCGTATGATCGTGATAAACTCTTGGTGCGAAGGTAGTATTACTGATTTGTCTCCTGTCGATGTTAGCAAATTTATAATTTAGAGTCTAACAAACCAAGTTTTTTACTGAGTTTTGCATTTTAGAAGGAAAACAAAAAAAAGGCGATAACGAAGTTTCTTGTAGTTTAAACACCCCACTACGCGCGCACTAATTCGGATGATTCCATTGCCATCATCAAATAGAAAAAGCCTAGTATAGGGGTCTATCACATTACGCGCTCCTACTAAATCGCTCGCCCAAATTTTAAGAAAATTCTTGTGAAAAGGCCCTTAGGGTGTGAAATTGGTCTGAATCGGTGTATTTTTGGACGCTGATTCCGAATCACCCCCCATGACGTAGGGTAAAAATGCTTCCACGGAGAGTTATGGGCAAATAACCGTTTTGGTCACGTGACAGGCTAGTAAAACATGAATTCGATTGTTTAGGGCTCGGGTTAGGGTTAGGGTTGTGGTAAGGGTTATGGTTAGCTTCGGGGTTATGGTTAGGGTTGGGATTAGGGTTCATGTAAAATCGTTTTGTACGGCTGCAAAATCATAAAAACCAAAGTCACGTGAAATTTTTGGGCGAGCGAATTAGTAAGAGCCCATATTTAATTACGTGATTAACAGGTGATACTCTTAAAACATTAGAACGTCGACGAGTCTAAACTCTAAACAGTTTTTTTGCCCATAACTCTCCAGGGAAGCATTTTTACCCTACGTCATGGCCAATTTGACACACGCTGCAACCCCTTTTGATCGCGCGGCCGGCCGGCCGGCGTGCACGCTTCGCGTGCACGAGAGGTATACAACGTGTAGCAATGGCCAATAGAGTAGGGGGTGCACCATACAAATAAACTTGCTCGGATTTTAAAAATTTTTGTACCATTGTTTTCTAGAGACTGTGAGAATTTTCACAATACCAAATTTGTCGTACCTTTTTGAAAAGATCAGTGAGTTTCGCCTAGGTGCCATATTTGATGGTGCGCGGCTTTTGGAGCAAAATTTGCTATAAAAGTCGCGTAATTTGACCAAATTTGACCAAATTCGTTGATTTTTGTCGTATTATTTGGATATATCTTCAGTTCCTTGAATGAAATCATTCTGAAAATTGGCGACGACCTTCCAATAGGGCTTTCACAACTGTCCGAAAAATTTGGTGGATATCGGAGTTGATATAGTGATCAAAATGGGGCAAAATACGCTGTTTTTAGCTGTAACATAATGTTTGATGGTTGGATATGCTTTAAACTTTTCGGACACCTTCCTTGTAAGTCTATGAGTAAGCTTTCCAATTTTTGTTGCAATCGGAGGTCGGGAAGGATACTTAATATCTATTTGTGTGAAGAAAATTGTGCTGGCCGAAATTAGCGCTAAAAAACCATCCTACAGTCGGCACGCGCGGCTCACTGTCGATGGCGCACTACCTAAATAGAGTAATTATATTCATATTATGTCAGCGCGAGCGATAAGATCTCATTGTTTTCTATATTCGGTGTGAAAATATGAGCTAGAACAGACGTAATCTCGTTATGGCTGTTTGAAATTTATGATTGTGCGGATTAAACGCAAAAACGCTTGCGGAGTGACAATATTCAAACTTCGATAAAGTATATCAAGTAGGTAGTGCGCCATCGACAGTGAGCCGCGCGTGCCGACTGTAGGATGGTTTTTTAGCGCTAATTTCGGCCAGCACAATTTTCTTCAAACAAATAGATATTGAGTATTCTTCCCGACCTCCAATTGCAACAAAAATTGGTAAGCTTACTCATAGACTTACAAGGAAAGTGTCCGAAAAATTTAAAGCATATCCAACCATCAGACATTATGTTACAGCTAAAAGCAGCGTATTTTGCCCCATTTTTATCACTATATCAACTCCGATATCCACCAAATTTTTCGGACAGTTGTGAAAGCTCTATTGGAAGGTCGTCGCCAATTTCCAGAATGATCTCATTTAAGGAACTGAAGATAAATCCGAATAATACGACAAAAATGGTCAAATTTGGACGAATTTGGTCAAATTACGCGACTTTTACAGCTGCTTTTGCTCCAAAAGCCGCGCACCATCAAATATGGCACCTAGGCGAAACTCACTGATCTTTCCAAAAAGGTATGACAAATTTTGTATTGTGAAAATTCTCACAGTCTCTAGAAAACAGTGGTACAAAAATTTTAAAAATCCGAGCAAGTTTATTTTTTATCGTGCACCCCCTATATCAAGTGGGTACAGGGTACTTCTCGATAATAGTAGAGGCTCTTACGGGCATTGTCTGCTCGATACGCTAGGGACCCCAGATACACCTTACTAGACGTATTTTTGACCGTAGAATCGATTAAAAGTGGTTTCAAGATGATTAGACTGAGTTAGCGCGGTTAAAATCGCAAAAAAACCGATTTTTGGGCCAAAAATAGGCCAAAAAACCATGTTTTTTGATAATTTGAGCAAGTTAATTTTGTTGGCATGTCGGCAAAACTTGCATGAAGATAGCTAAAAGACAGCCGCACAAGATGGTATAAAAATAAAACAAATCCCTCTATTTTAGCGCAGGTAGAAATCCAAAAAAGTGGTAAAAATTTTGACTTTTTTGCGCGCAATTTATTTTTGGTACTTATATGCTATATTTTGGAAATTTTTGAAGATATATCTTGTAATAACAACTAATTTAAATATATTTGATATAATTTTTACTAAAAAATTCATGTTTAATAGAACCAAAATTTTAGGTGCGCCGCGCATATTTTCGAAGATTTACACCGTGGTATGAAAATCGAGCGCTAAACCAAATAATGTCATATTTTCACAAGAATACTTAGGTTGTTTTTTAGTGTTATTGTCGCATTTCGAAACTCCTTTTCACCCTATTTGGTTATCGTTTTGATGTGTAATTTTATTACTAACTATGTTTTTATGTATTCTCTTTGATGTGGAGTACCCATTCATACTATTTCCTATAGTTTTATCATACGCTTTTTCCTCTAAAGTCGGCTCCATTTGTGACATACTTCTTATCTTATACATAGTTTATCGTGGTTCGTTGATGCTGAATTGGTCTGGATACATTTTCTTTTGGAGCTCCAATACCGCAGCAGTCGCTGACTAAAGGCTTCTCACTAATTTCATTCAGAACCTCCTCAATATTATTATTAACCAGCAGTTGCTCGTTCTCTGATTCTGATAGACCGGACCATAAATGATTACGTTTTTGCTTCACTCAATCTGGTTTTCTACATTTTTTTACTGCAGGGGGAGGCCTCTCAAAGAACGGTCAAATGATAGTCTTTTTATCACACAGAAGCACTGTATAAGAATCCTTTTTGGTGATCTCGACTCA